AAAAAAATTAAAAAATGAAACCCCCCCAAAAATGAAAAACCCAAAAATTAATAAAAACCACCAAAAGAATGACAAAAAAAATTTTTAAATGAAAAAAAAAAACCCAAAAAATGAAACCCTGACCCAAAAATAAATAAATAAAAACCACCAAAAAAATGAAAATAATTTTTTTTTCCCCCCTCCTCCTTTCCTGCAGGAATTTTCTCCCATTTCCCCCCCCTGAACAAACACAAGGATTTGGTTTTTTTGGTTTTTTTTCAGATTTTTATTCCCCAAAATCCCCTTTGTACACGATACAAACCTTCCTATACATTGTATAAACCCTGCAGATATGTATAACATATAAAAAAATAATTAAAAAAAAATCCCAAATATTCCAAATCCATGGATTTAAACAACTCTTGGATCCCTGCTGGGGTTTTTTAAATTATTTTTTTATTTTTTGGGATATTTGTGGATTTAAAATTCTCATTTTTTTGAGGAGCTCTCAGCTGATATTTGAAGGTAAAACTGCTCCTAAATGATTCAAAAATTCCATTTTTTTTTTTTTTTCCTGGGATTTCCATGGAAATATTTCAAATTCAGCAGGAGGAAACTTTGGGCTCCTCCCACACATTCCAGAGTTTGGGATCGGCTCCCCCCCAAAAAAAATAAATTGGCTTTCCAAATTTGTGGAGAACCAATGAGAGAAGGAAAATTCATTTCATGAAATGTGGATTGAGTTGCCACTTAATTCTGATTTTAGAGCTCAGTTTTGCCACTGAATCCTGATTTTAGAGTTCAGTTTTACCATTAAATCTCAATTTCAGCCTCAGTTTTGCCATTAAATCCCAATTTTAGGCTCAATTTTACTATTAAATCCCAATTTTAGGCTCAGCTTTGCCACTGAATCCTGATTTTAGAGCTCAGCTTTGCCATTAAATCCCAATTTTAGGCTCAGCTTTGCCATTAAATCCCAATTTCAGGCTCAGTTTTACCATTAAATCCCAATTTTAGGCTCAGCTTTGCCACTGAATCCTGATTTTAGAGTTCAGTTTTACCACTTAATCCTGATTTTAGAGCTCAGCTTTGCCATTAAATCCCAATTTTAGGCCCAGTTTTACCATTAAATCCCAATTTTAGGCTCAGTTTTACCATTAAATCCCAATTTTAGGCTCAGCTTTACCATTAAATCCCAATTTTAGGCTCAGCTTTACCATTAAATCCCAATTTTAGGCTCAGCTTTGCCCTTTAGTCCACACCGAGCTCCCTCAGGAACTCTCCCGAATTCCAAAGGGGGCGCTCAGGGAGTCCAACCATTCCCCAATTAAGTCCTAATTAATGAATGAATTAATGAATTAATGAAGGCCAGGCCTGGTGAGGGCAGGGCTGTCAGGCTCAGCTTTTCAGGAGGCTGCAGCTGCCATCGATGTGCTCCTCCTGAACGGGGACCCTGCAGCTCCTGGGCTCTGCAAAACACAGGGGACAGCTCTCAGGGGGAGGGACTGCGAGGATCCTGGGATTATCCTGGGTTTTACTGGGATTT